CGTGTAGGAATGACGAAGAAGATGCCTAGGCGCGTCGCTACCATGGTGTTTTCGCCTCGAGATTGGAGAAAATCGGCTTATCGGCTTATCGGCACATCGCATTTCGTGGGCGATTTCCCGTTGAAGCCACGCGTCTTATCACATGTGACTCGGACGGATGCGCACGATAATGCGTCTCTCCCAACCCCCTTATCGCCATTGAAAATAACAACCTCCTCTTGGAAGCTCCGTAATCTAAATTGTGCTGGCGACGCAGATAGCGTCCGTTTCCCGTCCGCTATGGAAATGCTGGCCGCGCGCACGGACGGGACGCCGGCTGTGAGAGGGAGGAGGAGAGGCGCAAGAAAGAGAAGAGAAACGTAGCTTAATATGCGCGGAGCTTCTTAAAGAGACCGGCACATCTGGTGGCCAAACGTTACAACCCCCCCCCCCCCCCCCCCCCCCGCCCTCCCCCCCCCCCCCGGCCACCGCGCACGGCCCCCCGCCGTCTAACAGAACGAGCGAGCCTTGCTTTGCCCATCGCCACGGAAAATTCCCTCAAATTACACTCGTCTATTTTAAAATGTGAGGATCGAGCTCGTCAAATCTACGAGAGTCCCAACTGCGTTGTAAGCGGAGATTACAAACGCTTCCTTGTTCCAACAAGATCTTGCTGGTCGTGATGGATCTGCTTATGTAGGATCCGTTACGCTCGTTCGTATATTTAACGAATTAGGCACCTTTTTCTAGAATGACGATATTATTATTAATATTATTATTATTATTGTTGTTGTTGTTGTTGTTGTTGTTGTTGTTGTTGTTGTTGTTGTTGTTGTTATTATTAATCTTAATATTATTATTATATTCTCCTTCTTGCTACCGATAACAGGGATATTCGAGCGATGTCCATTATCCCATCCTATTATCCCGATAATTGGATAAACAAGTGGGATAAACGTTAACAAGCAAAATAAATTGGATAAGATAAAATTGATATGAAAGAAGAAAGTATTTAGCGTAAAGTATTTAGTTGACGGGGTAATATTGGCGACATTGACATGCGTATAATTAATTCACTCGTTTACCTGGATACTCGGGCGTTGAAAACTTAGGTTCAAAACCTTATAAAATATCGTTGGATTAGCGATCGTGACTCTTAGTCCTCGTCCTCGTCATTATTGCCATACATTCGAGCGAACGAGATTTATCCCGCTAATTCGCTAATTCTCCACCCATCCTAATTATCATCTTCCCTAGGAATTTCACGTTGCGTACGTGTACGTACGTATGGGCAATTCGCCGCGGCCTGGACTTTGGATCCTGGAGAAATCCAAGGATTACGGAAAGAGTTGGTCACCCTGGCAGTATTTCTCGGACTCGGAGTCCGATTGTATGACGTATTTTGGCATCGACAGCCACACGCCCATCACTCGCGATGACTCCGTCATCTGTACAACCGAGTACTCCAAGCTCGTGCCCCTCGAGGGAGGTGAGATACCAATTTCTATACTCAACAGTCGTCCATCCGCCAAACACTACTTCAACTCGACGGTGCTCCAGGAGTGGACCCGAGCCACCAATGTCAGATTCCGCTTCCTCAAGACGAAGAATCTGCTGGGTCACTTGATGTCCGTCAGACGGCAGGATCCCACCGTAACGAGACGCGTGAGTTGCCGATTTCTTTATTGTCGATATGGCCATTACGATGCAATGTGCGAAGAGAATTTTCGAGATTATTAACTAATAATGGAGGGACATTCTTTGCCTTGTCAAGTTGATGGACGTTTTAACGCTTTCAGCGTCTGTTATCGAATGTTTCTAATGCCTCCTTTGATCCTTTGAATCAATTGCTCCATTGCTCCATCGATCCTTTATATCCTTTGAATCCTTTGCAATCCTTGGCACCCTTACCGAAGTATTCGATGTGCATTTTCTGGCAATGTAATTTGGACAGATCGAGCGTGCAATGATATTTACACAATGATCTTTAGTTTAACAATGTCAATTTAGCGTATAAAAATCTCCCTTCGCATCTTCCGAGACGGCGAACAAAGTCCTTCATACGGTGCGTCGTTTCTTTTCCAGTACTTTTATTCGATCAAGGACATCAGCATTGGCGGTCGTTGCATGTGCAATGGTCATGCCGACACTTGTGATTCCTTGGATCCGAATCTTCCCAATAAGTTCTTCTGTCGTTGTCAACATAACACTTGTGGGCCGCAGTGCGCGACCTGTTGCAAGGGTTTCGAGCAAAAGAAATGGCGGCAATCCACTTACTCGAAAAAATTCGTCTGCGAAGGTACATATTTTCGCAGAGATAACAGCACTAATCAGCAATAATCATTGCTATCGCAGCATTTTTATTTGTAACATTTAAAGTATAATATGAAGCGAACTCAGTGCTCTTTATGAATTATGAACAACGAGTGCGTAACTTTTATCGTTGTTTACCTAATTCCGAGCACACAATCATTCACAATTATTCACAATACGTTCAATTAACAATATGACAAAGTCTCGTAATATCGTTTTATTAATCGATCTAAATCAATCCGATTACGAAACCTTGTATTCTCTCACAGAGTGCAATTGCTTTGATCACTCGACCGAGTGCATTTACGACACGGAAATCGACGAGAAGCACTTGTCACTCGACATACATGGCAATTACGAGGGCGGTGGAGTTTGCCAGAACTGCAGGCACAACACCGAGGGTATTAATTGCAATCGATGCAAACCAAAGTTTTATCGACCGACGAATAAGCCACTCAACGCTACCGACGTCTGTCAGCGTAAGTTTACCTAAATATTCGGCCATACACCGTTGGTATATAAAATTCGCTAAGCCTAGCACGAATCATCGTCCGAACTTTTCCCCGTCGCCATCCCGTTCCTCTCCACTACAATGGCCCAGCATCGGCGGCTCAATTTAATCTCAAACGACATTTCGCGCTTTTAAACAGCCTGCAACTGCGACTATTTCTACTCGACCGGGAACTGCTTCGACTCGACTGGCCAATGCGAGTGCCGACCCGAGTACACGGCACCCAACTGCGACTCCTGCAGCTATGGCTACTTCGGCTTTCCCGACTGCCGGCCCTGCGAGTGCCATCTCAACGGAACCTACGGCTACCATTGCGAGGCCACCGAGGGTCAGTGCCCCTGCAAGGAGAACTACGCCGGGCACTATTGTAATTTCTGTGCCGAGGAGTACTACGACTTCCCCAATTGCCTAGGTACGCCAATGACGGCATTTTCTTAACGAATTCTTCTTGTTTTTTCTTTCTCATCTAGAGAGTGCTCGTAACGTCGGTTCGCTCGTGCTCCTGCGTTGTCACTACAATGACCATAAAATCAAACGCCCGTTTCAATGTTTTTAGCCTGCGACTGCAACGCCATTGGCTCGCTCAATAACGTTTGCGACGTCGTATCCGGAAACTGCACGTGTAAAAACAACTACGGCGGAAGGAGTTGCGACATCTGCGAGAACGGCTACTACAACTATCCATCTTGCACGTGTAAGCTATCGAATATCAGACTATCGTTAACCATCCTCTGCCATCGCCTCCCTTTCACCTCACCCCTCACCCCTCACCTACGACCACGTTCCCAAGCGCAACCCAACCGCATCGATACCTATGCCATTATCCTTCTCATCTAAATATCTTACTTTGTTCAACGCCGCCGTACCTCGCAATGCACTCCTTAACCCGGCATCCCTCCGATAATTGGATCATCCAATCGATCTCCTGCAAATGATTCGCAGACTGCGAGTGCGACACTCGCGGTACGGAACCGGGCGTCTGCGACAAGGACAACGGACGCTGCCTTTGCAAGGAAGGCTACGGGGGCCCGCGCTGCGACCAGTGTATACCCGGCTACTACGGCTACCCCAACTGCGAGCCCTGCAACTGCAGCAGGAACGGCACGTCATCGGTAACCTGCGACGCCGCGGGCAAGTGCTCCTGCCTTTCGAACTTCGTGGGCAAGACGTGCAATCAGTGCGCACCCGGTTATTACAATTATCCCGAGTGCACCGGTAAGAAGGACGATCGGTGCTGTTGATATATACACGGGTGACCTACCTAAGCCGTCCATTGTGCTTTTAGGCTGCAATTGCGACAGCCACGGCTCCATCGGAGTATCCTGCGACCACGAGGGCAAGTGTCAATGTCGCGAGAACTTCGACGGCGACCGCTGCGAGAAGTGCAAGGCCAACTTTTATAACTTCCCCAACTGCGAGGGCTGCAACTGCGACCCCGCGGGTATCGCCGGCACGTTCCAGGGTTGTGGCAGTCTACCAACCGGGGAGCTCTGCCAGTGCAAGGAGCGAGTCGAAGGCCGAATATGTAATCAGTGCAAAAAGCTCTTCTGGAATCTGCAGCCCAATAATCCCGACGGATGCGAAGGTAAGGTTACGCCGCTTATCCTAATGGGGTTTGCATGGCTTAACGGGGACTCGGTGAAACATTTTCTCCGTAAGCGCTCAAGCTGAAATGACACATTGTGCCTCGGCCAGTCTATGTCTCTATCTCTATGCACGCGTTTAACCATCGAGTGGCTCTTTGACAAAGAAAACGACGTCCCGAATCGTATTTAAGCCTGCATTTAAGTATTGCTGGCTCCGTGTCTCACTCTTAAGCTCTCCCCCCCCCTCTCTCACTCTCTCTCTCTCTCGTGTTTTATTTAACTCGTCGCCACAACAACGCCGTTGGATCGCGTTGCAATTCGTCGTTCTACACGATCGGATAACGTGAAATTAATAAAATACCATTGATTCATTTACTGACGAATGACATTGTCAATCGCTTTTCAAGATTGCCACTGTAATATTCCTGGTGTCATCGGCAGTATCGGCGAATGCGATGGAAAAACTGGACAGTGTATTTGTAAGCCGACCGTAACGGACAGAGATTGTTCGGAATGCATTGACGGGACGTACGATCTTCAAGAATCCAACCTGTTTGGTTGCTCCGGTAAGTTATTCAAAGTTTTCCAACCCTATATCTCTTATTTAACGATGATACTCTCGGCCAACTAACAAACTGCTATATCACGCAATTCTTATAAAATATGTTTTTTCCGGCCATTTGCCTTGATGACATGATCGAATGACTATTAGCCATAGAGTAACAGAATAGTGCAAACAAACAACAACAATATAATACTTAAACTAGAATAATGAATTCTACCCAACTGCATTGAAAATTACTTTACTTTGACCAAGACTACGCGTAATTTGACTAGATTTTAATAAAAATCAAAATATACGTTCTTCCTTCATTGTTATTGCAACTACCATTATTACCGTCACCATTTTTTACTGTATCTACTGCTACCAAATCTACCGCTACTAAATCTACTACTACTAATACTACTACTACTACTACTACTATCACTAATTTAACAATGAACAATAAAATATTTCAAAAAGACAACAAAAAAAAAAAAAAAAAAAAAAAAAAAAAAAAAAAATTAGCAAAAAGAAAAATCCTTTGTTTAAAAGAAGAATAAAAAAAACCTTACGCTCGGCTCGGCTTTGGTCAATAATGCCAAATTAATTACTTAATTGAATCGAAGAATGCTCGTGCGACATTGGCGGTTCCCTGAGCACAAAGTGTAACAAGGAGACCGGACAATGTCACTGCCGCAACCGCATCGAAGGTCAGACCTGCAACGAGCCTATGCGTACTCAATACTTCCCCACGCTCCACCAATACCAATACGAGGCCGAGGACGGTCGAACACCTAGCAACCGCTCGGTACGCTACGGTTTCGCCGAGGATCTTTTCCCGGGCTACAGTTGGAAGGGCTACGCTGTGTTTTCGCCACTTCAAAACAAGATCATCCACGAGATCGAGATACAGAAATCGTCCCTTTACCGCATCGTTTTGCGCTACGTTAATCCGAACAACGAGCCGATACTCGGCTCCGTCACCATTACCCCGGACAGTCATACCGAGGTCGAGCAGCACTTCAAGGTGCAGTTCAAGTCCAAAACGAACGATCCATCCTTCGTTACGGTCGCTGGTGAGTCTCATTGGAATTTCCTATGTCAGATTAATATATCTGCGCCCTATATATCATAAATGATCGAAACCTGTTCGTTAAATCGCGTCAAATCGCCCTACCAACTGATTGCAGGCGCTCAGGGTAATCTACCGTCAGTGATGGTCATGAATCCCGGCCACTGGATCGTGACGATCGCCATCGAGAAGAGCCTTTTCCTCGATTATTTCGTACTTCTTCCCTCGGAATACTACGAGGCGAGCATCCTCACCCAAGAGGTTAGCACGCCTTGCGTCATCGGCTACAAAGGATTGTGCCGGCACTACGCTTATCCGAATCTTACACCTTTCGACTCGGTCCTGGCTACCAGTGGCTATACCACCGGCAACGATGTTAAGGATCCGCTTGTCGAGCACCTCACCGACCAGGCGATGCTCGACGAAATAGGCGAGAGCCAGCTGCCACTCATTAACGACAAGCAGCGGAAAATCCACTTGGAGATGACGATTTCAATACCGGGAGCCTACGTCCTCGTCATTACGTACGTCACGTCGTCGACGGAGCAAAGACGCACCGCGACGATTTTCGTCGAGGCCAATGTAATGGATAAAGGCAAAGTAAGTATCCGTCCGCTTTCGTTGCGATCGTCTTTTTTTTTCTTTTTTTTTTTCTTTTTTTTTTCTTTTTTTTTTTTTTTATAAAATCGAAGCATCCTATTTATTAATGATTAGGTCCTCTTTAAAAAACATAATAATTGTTCGGGGTTGATTGTTGACACTTCGTTATATCTTACACGTGCTCGTGCATAATGTTTGTAGGCAACTCTACATCCTTGCAAGTACACGAGCATTTGTCGCCAAGTGGTGACGGAAACGAATGGCAAAGTCGCCGTTTTCACTTTCCCAAGCAACTATGCGACCATAATACTCGACGGCGAGGCCAACATCGACGTTGCCATTAAGTCGGTCGTCGCGATCCCGGCGGATGATTGGTCCGTCGATTATCTCAATCCAAAGTCGGTTTGCGTTCGCAAAGACGGCAAGTGCATCCAGGGCATGTTCCCCGAGGCTCCGGACGCCAAGAAGATCGAGCTCGAGCAGAATAATCAAATCCTAAGCACAGTCGTGACACCGGTGGGCGTCTACGACAACAGTTCCAAATTCATTTACTTGAACAGCATGATCGATGTACCGGCCAAAGTACCACATCCCGGCGATTATATATTAGTCGTGCAGTATTATCAACCCGATTATCCAGAATTCAATCTCGACGTTCTCGTGCAAAATGGAAAGTTCTACGAGGCTAAAGTGCCAATGGCCCACTGTCCAAGTAACAGCTGCTGCCGAAATGTCGTTCGTCAGCTTGACGGTAAGCCCGACTATCGATCTACATTTCCCAATTATAATCCTGACAAATCGCACAATTCTTTAGAACAATACAAGCAGGAATATCGAATTCTCGTGACAAAATTTCATTAGACTTTATTGGTTATTATCGTTATCGTTACGCTTTCGTCGTTAAAAGGCCTAGATAATATAAAGTTATTCTCGTTCTCTCGCTTTACGACTACTACGCCTACGCCCTTTCTACTTTGGATTACTCGTGAATAAGTTGCTTAAGCATACCGAACGAGCATAATTAAGCATAAAACTTTAATACTTTAATTGGTTGTGCGCGAGGTGCGGTCGATAGATGTTTTTCTGATAGATGTTGTCGATAGACAGATCGATAGATCAAAGCAAGAGAAAAGAAGATATTCATAATGAAACGCGATACGTGCCATATTATGCTTAACCATATTGACGGAGAGCGTCGAATGCCCGATCCATTAAAACAACATAATTCCCAACGTGTCCCAATAATTTTTAGGAAACGCGCGATTCCAGCTGACGGAGAACTTCGTTATAACGCTAAAGGAAAACAGTGGCCGAGGTATTTGGCTGGACTACATTCTCGTGATCCCAGTCGACCTCTACAGCGACAACTATCTGAAGAAGCTGCAGTTCGATCAAACCAAAGAGTTCATCAAGAAATGCGGCAACAATCACTTCCACATCAACAGGACGGAGGAGGGCTTCTGCCGCGACTCCGTCTTCTCCCTCACGGCGAATTACAATAACGGGGCGCTGCCCTGTAGCTGCGACATCGACGGCACTACGAGCTTCGAGTGCGAGAAATTTGGCGGCCAGTGTCCCTGCAAGGCCAACATCATCGGCCGACGATGCAACATCTGCAAAACCGGCTTCTACGGTTTCCCCAATTGCCGGGCCTGCAATTGTCCAAGTACCGCGATCTGCGAGCCCGAGAGCGGCGCCTGCATCTGCCCGTCCCACGTAACTGGCGAGCGCTGCGACCAATGCGAGCCCGGCACCTACGGCTACGACCCAATCATCGGTTGCGAGGAGTGCCAGTGCTCGCCCCACGGCGTCCTCGACGGTGACCTACAGTGCAACCTGCTCACCGGCAACTGCATGTGCAAGAACAACGTCGTCGGCAGACAGTGCGGCAACTGCCGAGCCGGCCACTACCAGTTCCCCTACTGCGAGAAGTGCGACTGCGACACCCGCGGCACCACCGACGACATCTGCGACCAGGAGACGGCCGACTGCCACTGCAAGCCCAACGTCCAGGGCTCGGCCTGCGACCACTGCAAGGAGGGCATGTTCAACCTCCAGCCCAGCAACGACAAGGGCTGTAGCGAGTGCTTCTGCTTCGGCAAGACCACGCGATGCGCGTCCGCCAATCTCTACAGGACCTTCATCACGGACATGAGCAACTGGGACCTGGCGCACGTTAACGAGAAGAACGAGACCGTGGAGATACTGAGGCTCAAGCCCCAGGAGGTCAATGAGAACGTAGTCGTCGAGGTCACGGCTGACATCGACCAAAGCAACATCGTTTACTTCTCCGCACCCCCTGGCTACCTTAACAAGAAGCTCACCTCATACGGCGGTTGGCTCAATTACACCGTCTCTTATACTATCGACTCGTTCGGCCACGCGGTCCCCGGCGCCGATGTCATTCTTCAGGGCGCGGACAGCTTCCTCGTGTACAGGGCGGAGGAGCAGCCGCCGTCCGACGTCAATTACCGAGCGTCCGTCCAGCTGGTCGAGTCGAACTTCGAGACGAAGCAGAATCTTCGAGCGACGCGTGAGCAGATGATGGTCGTATTGGGCGATCTTCGCGGCATTTACATACGCGCCACCTATTGGCAGCCCTCCACGCTCTTCGCGTAAGTATAAACTCATAGAGATACGGCATAAGCGACAATCGCTGACCCTACACGGCAACCACAGCCCATTATCCTTATCCTTGCACGCGATATTTTTATAAATGGCGAGCTGACATCTCATTGCCCCTGTCTAGTCTCTTTCACGTGTCGCTCGACGTAGCGACGGAAGCTTACCTCTATAATGCCGAATTGGCAAGTAGCGTCGAGCAGTGCCACTGTCCGCCCAACTACAAGGGATTATCGTGCGAGGAGTGCGCCAAGGGTCATTATAGAGTGCCCGGTCCCTACGGCGGATACTGCGTCAAGTGCCAATGTAACGGGCACGCGGACACCTGCGACGTCAATAGCGGCGTCTGTCACGTAAGTCATCAACCGTCCCGAGACAACTCACCCCAAATCAGTGTCAAATATCGGTCCTCGTTAATGTAATCTTCCCGGCGAACGCGTATCACCAACACTCGCTTCACACTATCCTCATAAATCCTAAAAAAAAAAAAATTTTCTCAAATGGGCAAAATGACAGTCACGATAATGGGAATGATCGATCAATGATAATAGGATGGTGGGATGGGTGGGAAGAGGAGCGTCGATGATCGATGAAGAATTAGAAGATCGTCCGTCGTGAGATGTTAAGGAGGGTGTCGCGCTAATCCAAGGGGATTTTGAGGCGAAGGCATTGGATTAATAAGCCCCGAGAGCATAATTGCCCTATCGCAATATAAATTTCTTTTAAAGGATTGCAAAAACGGCACGACCGGCGATCACTGCGAGCTCTGCGAAGAGGGCTATTACGGGAACGCGACCCTCGGCACACCCTCGGACTGCCTCATCTGCGCGTGCCCCCTACCAATACCATCCAACAACTTCGCCCGTGGCTGCGACGTGAGCGACGATGGCAGCAGGATAAGCTGCAAGTGCCTGTCGGGCTACTACGGGGCGCGTTGCGAGTCCTGCGCCGCGGGCTATTACGGCAAGCCCGACGTGATCGGTGACTTTTGCAAGCCCTGCGAGTGCTCCGGCAACATAAACACCAACGAGATCGGCTCCTGCGACTCGGTGAGCGGCGAGTGTCTCAGGTGTCTCAACAACACCTACGGCGCCGCCTGCAACCTCTGCGCGCCCGGCTTCTTCGGCGACGCTATCGAGAAGAAGGACTGCAAGAGCTGTTTCTGCGACCAGTGTGGTATTTTATATTATTATTATTATTATTATTATTATCATCATCATCGTCGTCGTCGTCGTCGTCATCGTCGTCGTCGTCGTCGTCGTCATCATCATCATCATCATCATCATCATCATCATCATCATCATCATCATCATCATCATCATCATCATCATCATCATCATCATCATCATCATCATCATCATCATCATCATCATCATCATCATCATCATCATCATCATCATCATCATCATCATCATCATCATCATCATCATCATCATCATCATCATCATCATCATCATCATCATCATCATCATCATCATCATCATCATCATCATCATCATCATCATCATCATCATCATCATCATCATCATCATCATCATCATCATCATCATCATCATCATCATCATCATCATCATCATCATCATCATCATCATCATCATCATCATCATCATCATCATCATCATCATCATCATCATCATCATCATCATCATCATCATCATCATCATCATCATCATCATCATCATCATCATCATCATCATCATCATCATCATCATCATCATCATCATCATCATCATCATCATCATCATCATCATCATCATCATCATCATCATCATCATCATCATCATCATCATCATCATCATCATCATCATCATCATTATTATAATACGGTTATATCCGATTTAGTGGGCCGTTGTTTATTAATTAACGGGCCCGTTATTCCGTCGTAGGTATGAAGCGCTGCGACAGCTACAACGGCGTGTGCCAGTGCCACGAGAACGTCATCGGCGACAAGTGCGACCGGTGCGCAGACGATCATTACGGATTCTCGTCATGCCGGGGCTGCCAGCCTTGCAATTGCGGAGTGGCTTCGGAGAGCAGCCAGTGCGCCGACGAGGATGGAAACTGCCGATGTAAGCCCGGCGTGGAGGGGAGAACCTGCGATCAGTGCATGTCTGGCTTTTGGAATTACGGGCCGAACGGTTGCACCTGTAAGTACGAGCGATACTCTTTGTATTAATGGCGATTGCTGTTTAGTGGCGCGGTGATGGTGACGGGGAGGGGGAGAGAGAGGATTTCTTATAATGTATTATATATCATATCAATGTTAATCATTGAGGTCGAATCGGTTATATCAGAATTTCCCTCGACCGACCGATGTGACTAAATATGACTTTACGCACTGCAGCTTGCGAGTGCACGACCGGCTACTCCCGCGGGGCCTCCTGCAATCCCATTACCGGCCAGTGCGAGTGCTTACCGGGCGTACTCGGGGAGAAATGCGATCACTGCCCCCATCGGACCGTCCTCGACGAGAGACGAGGCTGCCAGCACTGCGACAAGTGCACCCACGATCTCCTCGACGTCACCGATGAATTGGAGCAGCTGCTCGATCCCGTCTCAAACTCCTTCAAGGTAATAAATTGTCCATTAATATTAATCCAATATAATAAAGCGACCAATGAGAATTACGTAAAATAAAAAGGATGAAAGGGAAAGCTGTCATTTAATGACATTTAATCGCAATCACTGTATTCAGAACGTCGCCGACAGCTACTTTACGAATCAGCGCCTCGACTTTATCAACGACACTATCGTGAAATTGGCCCCCGAGGTGAAGCTCCTCGATCCACGGCGCATCGACTTCGAACCTCTTCATCAAGATATTGCGCGACTGAACAACAAGGCATACGGCCTCAAGCGCCGGGTTGAGTTCCAGGAGGAGGACGGCAGCAGCTGGAAATCACGCGCGGAGAAGAATCTCCTCGACGTGAACAATCTCGAGCTGGACGTGTCGAGGGAGATTAATCTTGTTAATGCGATTATAAATGAGGTGCAGGCGCTCGCCTCGAACATGGAGCTCGGCAGCGGTCCCAAAATCGATAATGCCCTGAGGCAGGCGCAAGAGATACTCGGGAAGATAAAGCAGGTAGCTATGAGCGATTTTTTTTTTTTTTTTTTTTTTTTAACCATTATCGTTTAAGGATTAGTGGCGGTGCTAGATCGATTGCTTACGCGCTTTAAACCGTAGGTATCGTTCACCAATGATCGGGACAAAGCCACCGACCAATCCAATCAAGCCAACATTCTCGTCTCGGAAATGATAAGTTACGAGGAGCCGGTGAAGAGCCTCGTCCAGGATACGGACGACGTGAGCGAGAAGCTGCGCATCCTAAGCGACCAGATCGACGACATGTACAATTTGACGCTCGAGGCCGAGGATCACGCCAACAATGCCGAGCGGCTCACCCTCGAGAACAAGAAGCTCGTCGACGCGAGCATCGTCAACGTGATCAAGAACGCGACCGACCGTACGAACGAGAACCTCGAGAACGCCGACGAGCTCAACAAGATATCGCACGGCTTGTACGACGAGGCGGACTATAACTTCGGCCATATGAGTCAGTTGCACTTTCATCATAAATTCTCTATTTCGTTCGGCATAGTGTTACATGCGCCTTGGGAGGGCATATTTACGAATTTACGTGCGTGGCTCTGCTTTCCCATCTCTCTCAATCCATTGACGCGTTAAATTGCTCGTTAAATTCCATCGAGAACTCTGCTCGTCTGCTCGCTGATCATTACGATATTATCCTGAACCGTGTTTCTTCAAGCTCGTGAACGCGTACGTGAAACGGCAAAACGCAAGTAAAGCTTACTTCGACATGAATAAACGAGATGCCCAATGACATTTCATAGGACAATTGGGACAAATTATCACAATTCCCGTCTCGGTGTTATAATTGTGCCCGACAATATCGAAACCCATGCACTTTGAAACTTAAAGACGAGGAAAAAGATACTAAAGACGAATTGCTATGGCTCTGGGGTCCGTAATTCCTGTCGCACAATTGTCGCTGTGATCGTAAAATACTCTGAGGGTAAAATTTAGCTTCGCGCGATTGTATTGGGAACGGCTCGCCCTCCTTCATCCAATAATTCGACCATGCGCTTGTTGGTCGTCCATTCGTTAATAATGGACTTGCGAATGTAAATTTATGATATGATTAATGTTTGCCTCGAGTAGAAAACAATGTGATTCCCGGAGCGACGACCCAAGCAAACCAGAAATTGAGCGACACGATTGATTCGGTCGAGGAAATGCTGTTGGACGTGAGGGACTTAGTGCCAAAAGCTAATATTTACGCGCAAAGCCTCGATCAAAAATCAATAGAGCTCGAATCTCTTTTAACGAATACTCGAAATTTGACGGGAGTACGAGCGGCATCCGTTTACCAGAACATCGCCAACAACATTAACGAGGCTAGGCTGTTTGCTCAAGAGGCATCCAAGTCCGCCGATAATGCGACCAACCTGGTAACGTATTATTTCCATCGCTTTCGTTAGAATGACGAATGACGACGAATCAGCACGTAAGGACCGCGCATTAAAATTTCTTGACAAAGTAAAAAGAAAATGAACTATATATACATGTTTATTGCAATTTGTATTTTACATTTGGGTATTTTGTCATTTGGATGGCAAGGATTTTTATTGATTTTTTCTTTCTGCCTTTTTCATGCCGACGAGTGACCGAATTAATATCAATGACTAAACTGACTGACTTCATTAGGCAACGCGTTAATAAGTCCTTTCGATGATGAAGTATTTAGTGGCAGTGCACACCGAGAGGAAATATTACCGAATTATGTGCCAATAAAAGTAATGGAATGTCGATGGTATTTTAGGTCATCGGCCTCGGAGACAAGAGTATGACAATGCAAGAGAACAGCGAAGATTTGCTGATTGGTGCCGTGAACGCGGTTAACAAAACGAAAAATGACTTAACGCCAGTAGTGAAAAATGCTCGCAATTACGATATGCCCAGCATATCATTGCAAAATGACAAAAACAACGTTACGCTCGAGCTCATTGTAAAGTAAATATAATGTTTAAGGATAATCTGGGATCGATTGATCGACAAATAAAAATAATATCGCCCGTCGCCTTGGGCTTTTGTACTAATGATTTCATTTTACTATTGTAACTTTTAGATCGCTGGGCTCGATATTTCCACAGGTGTCGTCGACGACTTTCGAGGAAGCTTTGAATAACGCCGATTATGCCGATTTTGCGATTGGCGAAGCCATCAGTAACAACATCAACGGGAAATTCGATCTGATCCCCGATGATCTGAAGAAGACCAAGCAGCTGTCCAAGGACACATCGGATTCGATTCGCGACATGTCGCAGGCGAATCATCAGTTGGACTCGATGAATACGATGCTCCCCGACATCACCAATAGATTGAAAGTTTTGAGCAACAAGCAGCAGTCGATAAACGGTAGCGGCAATAGCCTGTACGACAAGATCGAGTCGCTCAAGCGTAAGATAAGCAACGCGAGGGATTTGGCGAATCGAATTAGAATCGGCTTGACCTTCTTCCCAAATACAACGTTAGAGCTGAAGAATCCGGAGAGTCTGCCACTTCAGATTACCTCTACGAAAATCTCAGTATACTTCCGCACAGCCAAACCTAACGGTTTCCTCATGTATCTCGGCAATGAAAATAGAACGAATATCCTTGGCGTTAAGACGGTAAGTACATTGCACATCTAAGCTTTATCGCACTGTACGTAAACTTCTTCATCATCTTCATTCTTCCTCTTTCTCATCTTCTTTCTTTAATTCTTTTTCACTTTGCTAATGATTTTACTAATGACTTCGCCCATTGTCCTATTATATATTAATAATTTACTTTTATTTCAAAGCACGATTTTATGGCTCTTTCTATCGAAGGGGGCTATCCAGTGTTGACTCTCGACCTGGGTTCGGGTCCTCAGAGGATTATTGGCAATCGATACGTTTCCGACAATAAATGGCGTCAATTAATCGTGGACAGGTAAGACCGACGGTTCTTAACCAATTGCTTGATCGATTGATTTTTATACAAGACCTTACGTAAGAAGAAGCATTGTCGTGTCGTATTGGTACTTTTGGCAAACTTAACGATGATTTATTATCGAGGAGCGTAAAACCTATCGTTTCCTATTCTAATATTATACCCTATTCAATACTACGCTAACGACAAAGTTCCCAAATGCCACTTTAATACGACAGCAAGGAAGATAAAACATAAACTAATATCTATATTCCTCGTTATAAACTTGAATGTCTAGAACTGGCAGGAATATAAAGCTTATAATTCGCGAAAGTGTGGACGATGGTCAAGATATGAACTTTGTGACCGAGCAATCGTTGCCTGGCTCGCATTCCATATTCAACCTCGACCAGGAAAAATCAAAGCTCTTCGTTGGGGGCTTTCCCACATCCTTCCAAGTACAAGATGCGGTAGTCTCCTCATCATTTGATGGCGAAATGGAAGAGCTCATGATAGGCGACGTACCCGTGTCATTCTGGAACTTCATCGATGGGGAAAATAATTGGGAGCCGGCTTTGGAGCGCGACACGCTCGTTAATCTCCAGCCAAATACGGGTTATCGCTTCGACCGCGAGGGTTATGCAATACTGAGTAAAAAGAACTTCCAGTTACCCTCGGATATCAAGAAATTCCGCATCGAGTTCAAGTTCAAGACTTGGGTGAATAACGGATTAATGTACCTGATGGGCGAAAAGAAGCACTTCCTATCGCTGGAGTTGAAGGATGGCTACATACTGTACCAATTTGATTTGGGCGATGGGCAGATAGCCATCACGACGTCAGAAAGGTAATTACGTAAAGAATAAAAAAAGATCGAATAATAACATGCGGATTAATAGGTGGCACTTGGTGTGCGGGAGTGAGTTGAGGGGAGGAGCGGAAAAGATGAGCTGATTGATGTGACAATTTTTAGATACAACGATGGCAATTGGCATACGGTGGAAGCCCTACGGCTCGAAAGAATCGGTGCATTGAAGGTCGACGGTAAGCAAATGGGTCAAAGCGAGAGCCAAGGTCAAGGGAAGAATCTAATATCGTCGGATTATGTATACTTTGGTGGATTTCCGACGTCAATACAGCATTCCTATAAAGCAGTTACGCAAATCGGTTTCGAAGGATGCATCGACGAAGTTGTCTTTTTAGAAACCTCCATAGATCTCACGAAAAATGTTCAAGCGTTTGGTGTGATGAATGGCTGCCCGGTTAAAGTAAATTTTACGCTTTATATACAAAAAACAAAAAAAAAGAAAAAAGAAAACAGTTAAAACGAAAAAAGAAAAAAAATCTCTCTAATTTGAGTAAATTTACATTGAAATCTGCTTATTTTCACGCGCTCTATATTCCTATTATTACTATTGCTACTGTTGTTGTTATTATTATTATTATTATTATTATTATTATTATTATTATTATTATTATTATTATTAAGTTTGGCTTATTTTTTTCGTTTAATTTTTTTGTTTTGTTTTTGTTTTCGTTTGTTTATTTCGCTCCGAGACTTTCATTAAAAAAAGATGAAAAAAATTCAGCCGTTAAATGAAATAACGATATCGCGTGAAACCAATCGTCCAATGAACGATCGATTAATTGAGAGAAACGTGTTTCCCAGTTTGCCAGCCTCGTATCGTTCGACGGCGTACATCCGGGTTACGTGAAGTGGGATAGAGTGCAGGTGCCCCACTCGCTCCAGATAAACCTCAAGTTCAAAACACAGTCGGAGAGCGGCTTGATCTATCATCTGGTGAACGCAGACGGCAGCCCCGCGAGTTCGCTGTCCCTCGTGAGCGGACGCCTCGTGTTGGAAAGCCAGGGCGAGCACCTCGAGACCAACAGTCCGGACATAAGATTCAACGACAACGAGTGGCACGTAATTACGGCCACGCACAACGGGACCGTCCTGAGGCTCGACATCGATGACTCCGAGGACGAGAGTACGAATGGCGCGCCTTACCCGCGGGAGATAAACGACGGGGCGCTTTACGTCGGCAACGTCCCCGATCATCTCAAAGGCGAGCTGAAGATCGAGCCGTTCGTGGGATGTATCGGCGACACGACCCTCAACGGCGTCATCGTCAACTTCGCCAATTCGACCGAGCGGCCCTACGCACACCTATCCCAGTGTAACAGGCCCGATCAAATGATATCCTCGTATAACGATCCATCGATATCGGCCCATCCGTCACCGCCGCCCTCCTCGTGGCAGGAGCTGACGACGAACGTCGCTGACGTCGGGCTTGGCGGCGAAGATGCTCAGGCGCCGGGCTCGATCGAGGGCCGCATCCCCGGTAGCGACGAAGATGACTCGACAATGGCCGCCCCGGTCACCGTTATGCAAACGACCTCGCCAATAACGGCGTGGCCCACGTCGACGAGGGAGCCGGAGACCGTCGACGGATGCCGGCTACCTTATTATCCCGCCACCGATCCCGATCAGTTCGTTGAGAACGCTTGGCGATTCGGTAATTATTGCCAATATAATTAATTATCTTAGTATATCGAACTGCATTCGCGCGATAATTTTGATAAGAGGCTTAGCGACCACTGCGGTCATCCTTCGCTACAAAACACCACGTAATCCTGAATTATTTTCGTTTTCAGGCACGCAAGAGAACAGCAGATTCGAATATAATACACTCAACGGCCGATACAAGGACGATTACGACTTCCAAATTGACATAAAGACTTTTGCGAACGAGGGAGTCGTGTTCTACAGCTCCGACTTGAACAGACGCGATTTAATCGCTTTGTATATTAAGAATGGCCTAGTAAGTTACGATCGCTTAAGCTATTAATTAATAAAGGGTGCTTTAAGGGGTGACAAATTTTCTCTATACGTGCAATGATAAGGGAACGAGGTGTCGTGGCGACCGAGGCAAATGACAATTAATGCTCGTGTCGGTAAAAAAGGTGAAATGTCATTAGGTGTACTATACGTACGACTGTGGCAGTGGGCCGGCGTTGCTCGGAAGCGAAAAGAAGATCAACGACCACCAGTGGCACACCGTGTATTTCAAGAGGCTCGGCGTCGAGGGCGAGCTCGTCGTCGACGATCAGCCGCCGATCTACGGCAAGTCCGTGGGTACGACCGAAAGCATCAGCGTCCAGCCGCCCTTCTTCGTCGGAGGTGTCGACCCCACCGTGTCCGGCAATGTATTAAATACGATAGTGAGTATCCCATTGTAGATGCTCGGTAACGTTATATGTTATATGTTAACGATATTGCCGATAAAATTCGCTAGGTTGTATGTATAATGTACTTTGCGAAGCTGCTCCTTGAGACGGTTTTTTTTATTATTATTATTTTTGGAGGATCGTGACGGATGACGTGGCAAAGCCTTATCGATTCCAATTAGCCGCTCTTTATTTCGAAAAGCTAATGGGATTTAGCGAGTCGAGTGAACTATCGAATGGTTGCCGCCGTCGATGTGCAGTACGAGAAGAAAGCAATTTTTTCTTCTTCTTTTTTTTTTTTGAAGGGACGATCAGATTAAAAGACGAATAATAACGGGTTGTCGATAAATGTGAAACGTCAAAGATCGTAATCGGTTAATCTACAATACATAATTCAAGGTGTCACGTTGTGCAATGTTAGCGATGGATGCAATATCTAAGTGTTGTATGTATTTTAGTTTTCATGTTGAAATCTATTAAAATGAAAATGTCCTGATCATTTAACAATAAGTTAAAAATAAATGGAATGGAATGGAATGGAATCGTAAACACGAGGCTTCGTATAATTTCGACGAACGAGATGTATTGCGTTTGACGATAAGTGTAGTAATAGCCGTAGTAGGTGTAGAGTAGGTAAATAAATTTCAACAAATAAATGTCGCGGTAACTGGATTCTGAAAGAAACGAGAGAAGAAAAAAAAAATGTAATTTTGAAATATTCTTTTTGCATTATTGTTAATCGATTATCGGACTGACACTGAATGATTTGAAAAGTGCCGGAACGCAATTTGATTCTCCATTGTTATTGCAGTGGGAGTGGAGTGTGTCAGAGATTCGATTTTTCCAATGTACCTCCTGATCTATAAATCCTTCGTAATTTCAATAATCTCTCTTGCCTCGAACAATATACCAGCTGCTATTTCTTATAGGGAATAAACAAGACATTTAGCGGATGTATTCGTAACTTCATGTTAAATGGACAACACGTGAAGGAGCCTAGTGTGCAGTATGGTGTTATTCCATGCTCTAAGCGAGTCGAACCTGGAATGTTCTTCTATCCAGGCAGTGGCAGTAATTGGTTCCGAGCTGGTAGGTATTTGTTTTATTATGGACATGAATGTGTCATTGGTATATTTTTTAATTATGACTGCCCCTCCAGATGATAAGTACACCGTTGGACGGCAAATGGATATTCAAATGGACATTAAGCCAAGATCGTCGTCGGGACTTTTACTTTCGATTCACGGAAGGAACGACCACGTTGTGCTAGAAATGGTCAATGGTACGATAAAGTTCTTGGTGAAGGCAGCGAAAGGACAAATTGAGACTTCGTACGATGCAGCTAGTCCAAACTCTCTTTGCGATGGTAATTGGCATAATATTCGAGGTAGGTTATTACTTTTATTATCATGGATAGCCGGGAATAGCGCTGTCGCACAAAAAAATCTAACGCCATAACGTCTGCCCATTGCCAGCTGTGAAGCAAAAGAATGCGGTAATTTTGTCGGTCGATCATAAAGCTGCTCCACCAGGAATCGGTAACAAAAATCTCGGTGGTGTTCTATCAAAGCACTCGATATATATTGGCGGACATCCTCACTTGGAGTCTGGCAAACCACTGAGAGGAAGTGCTTCGAGGGCACAATACGTCGGCTGCATCAATAACATTGTCATTAAGGAGCGCGCCTATCCATTAGATCCATCACGCATACATGGAAGAGTGGTGGCGGATGTATGCCCAACAATTTAAGCTTGTCTAAGATTGTAAATGATTTAACAATTGTCTTCTTACAATTTTAATTATTTAAAAGTAAATTTGTCCAAAGAGATTTTTTTCATATATTTTGATGCAATAAACAGTGATGTAACACCAAAGTGGTATAAATATAAATAAAATTTATAAATAAACTTAAAATAAAAATTATTTTACAGAATTATATATATTAATTGTTTCTCTCGAGTGAATGTACATCTCTTTCTATTCTCTTTTAACGATATCTGTTTTGTAATAAAGCGCTGCAAGCATAATCGATGCGCTCAAGGCAGTTGAGATAATAAAATTTCCCAAAAGCAACATATCCGCTGAATCCATCCATATTGTAAATATCCTAGCTATAATAAATAAATAAAAAACGTGAAACAATTATAATGCGCCTATAGTTCAATTTATCTAACATAAAATAATAATGTAAATACGCGGACGAGAACTTACTGAGATTCGATAAGGTTGAAATTGCCCAAGTCGTTGGTGATACGGAATCTGCTTTTTTTGCTCTGATTATGGTCATCAATTGAATTACTTTACTAGACGCAGATATGGGCGTACACATTGGCTGAGAAGGAGCAAAAAAAAAATTAAAATAAAGAGTATCCAATAACTATCGCAATAAGTTACGCATAAAGCACGGCGTTTTAGGCCATTGGCAAACTAATCTTACCATTACGAAAGTGAGAATCGTCTTTGGTAGGCATTCGGTTAACAGGCCAATAAAAATTGCAAAGTAGGCCGATGACGCTACCAATAATTGAAGATTCATTAAATTCATATAATTAAGCACCAAGTATATGAGAATATACTCCTGAAGTAGTATAATTGGATATTCTAAATATGACAGCAGCGAATAATCATTTGTATAATTATAGCACGTTGTAATACTGTAACTAAAGAGAAATAATTATAATAGAACAATAATGTACTTATTGACCATCGCTCGTTAATCACTATCGTTAATACGTATGACGAACCTTATTAATTCCAACACTAAACTTTTAAAGGATATACCCGTTGTTGATCTATTTTTAAGCAGCTTAAATATTTGTGGAAATTTTAAAACAAAGCACATTCCAATTGTAGCGATACTCAAGCCATCGGCCAAATACCGTACAAGTGTATTGAGTGACATGGCGGTTATCCAAAATTTCTAAAACATAGGAAACACGATATCATTAGGATAGAGAAAGTTTTTACATAATAAATAATATCTTAATTAACGTGCTAAAACTAACGTTCGCTACAGCAAACTAATAGCTCCGTACTTACGCTCTTGGAATGGAAATAGTTAATTCTCAGATAGAGTTGTGATCAAAGAGACATTTTGTCAAACCACTTGCCTAAGACTTCAAACATAATTAACTAAATCGGCTTAACTTAACAAGTGTTCGAATGGCCGCGAACCACTGCATTCTTCACCTCGCATGGCACACAGTGCACCCCTACACTCGACTCAACTTTATAATTTCACACTGCAAATTGTTTACCTCTCCTCCTAACCTGACCTGCTTGCATTCCTATACGAACCTAACCCTCGCAATAATTTTTAACTACTTGCATAAATTGCATATGTGGAACAGGCGTGCACCTAGGAGTTTGAGGTTATCGAGTGTCTACACATTTTGTCTGCCTTGACTTTCAATAAGTTATGTGGTTTAAAAACAGATCGAACCACAACAATTCATTATTACCGTCTTTATCGGCAATTCTTCTTGTTATTTAATATATTAGTGATACATACGTATATTCAAATATAGATAAATAATGGCGGTGAGTGAGTTGTTTCTGCAAATAATAATGCCAACCAATGTTCTATGATAAACTACCATCGACTTATCACGTTTCCTAATAATTTAATAACACAGCTTTTAACAATATTGTGAGATTTTTCCAAATAACAGTACTGTGCTCCTCAATAGTAAATTAGTATTATAAACTTATAGTGAACGTAACGCATTAAATGTAACTTATAAAAGCTGCTTTTACAGCTCGCTTCTTAAAATTGCAGTTAAATTTTGTTATGAGCAGGAGCTGCATTTCCGCTTGTCGCACAGAGCATTCTTCCTTTGGATTTCTATCGCTTGTATTACAATGACGATTGACAAGTCGTCGCCACGTGTAATTAGCATTCCTTGAGTAAAATAGTATAATAATAATTTATATTTTCGTTTGATACCCACAGCCAGCGACGAAAAGCAGTAAACAGGCTACAAAAGGCGTTAAGCAAATAAGCGAGGAAAATGATTTAACGTTAAATTTTTATAGAAATATGATTATTGGAGCCCATGGAACTTATCTTCTTATAATGAGTATTTTCTACGAATTAACATCGGTGGAAATAGTAAGTTTAGCAAAATATATCTATTTATTATCAGAGTCGATGGTCATTACATGTGACCAAATATCAATAATATAATATAATATATAATAGACTTATTCTCTGCTTTTATTTGTAGCTTTTATCAGTAATTTCCATTATAATAAATATTGGCTGCTATTCTTTTATGTCTTATACTACTCAAACAAAGCTCGCACCATCCGGTCAAATATCTTACTCTGGCATTGATTTAAATATTGAAGGAGGAATAGGCGAGTAAGTTAAAGTATATACTATACAACAACGACAGCTACGACAAGAACAATAACAATAATAATAATAATAATAATAATAATGTAAAACCCCTTGTTAAAATTGATAAAAATATTTCAGACATCTTAAGGATTTGATTATTCTTGCTTCTGGAATTCAATTGCTTTTGATTCTGTCGAACTACTGTTCGCTGTTGTGGACATTGGTAAAAACAATTGATATTTTTGTGTAATTAAGGCTACGCCAGGCTGCTTCAACAATCGAGCTAAGCGAATCGTTCTTTCCAGGTGCCACTTCGATTATTGTGGGTATTGTGGGTGAACGTTGTATCTCCGTGGATATTTGCTGAGCCACCAGTTGTGACGGAAAAATCCAAGAACAAGCAACGAAAGTTCGAAAGAAAACTAGCAAGATCAGTTTACAGAAGTTATTAATATTCCATTTAATCTACGTGTGATTAACAGGAAAGTGATTTTAAAAATGGTTAGTCACGATTTTTTTTTTTTTTACTTGACTGAGATTTATAAAGAATGGCAATTTTTTAATTAAAGTCTGTCTCAAACACTTTATACAATCAAAAATTCCTAATCTGCAATTCGTTTCTTCATTTTTTCTTTTTCCGACTGAAAAAGAACTGCTCTTTGACCTCAATTCCCAAATTAATCTCTTCGACATTTCACATTATTTGGAATGAACGTGTTTGTGTACATCGTATTATCCAATTATACATAGTGTATCTTATCTCCCATAATTGTACTCGAGATGCATTTAACGAGGAATGAAAAAAAGAAGTGATCTCATACGATGATAATAAAAGCAGAATGATATTTTCATTCATTATTCTTCTGGATAAAATAAGAAAATAAGAAGAATGAAAAAAAGAAAAACAAATAGACAGACAGACAGACAGACAGACAGACAGACAGATAGACAGAGAGAGATAGAAAGAAACCGCAAATACCAAAGCAAACTTTTTCAACGTCAACATTGTCGAATTATGAAAGCAAAACCGCGGGATTAATAATCCGCCTAATGATTTCCCGCGAGAAAGCGACGTCCGATCGTTACGTGCAAATTGAAGATAAAAGAATAATCCATTCTCAACGTGCACACAGCCGCATATGTGTAATAAACAATTTTTCCCAGGCATGCGTTTCAAGAAGACCGTAACGCGTCGCAGGTGCATAACGGTAACGGTTATTCAAAGGGCTCGGCATTGCACAGTTAGCGAGTGCTGTCTACAACTGTATCGACCGAATTTTCTTTTAAGGTTTATACGGTAATGTGTAACCGAGTGCCGCTAACCCGGGCACATCACTTATCGGCAGTTCAGGGAACAAAAAGGGAAGGGAACAAAAGCCAGCGCTTCTTTATATTTAAAAAAAAAAAAAAAAAAAAAAAAAAAAAAAAAAAAAAAGAAGAAGAAAACAACTAAGTGCTCCATTCGATTCGCTGTTGGCTTATAGGTAAGACGCGTACGTACATACGTACAACTCCGGTAGTTGTAATACTTTTTTGTTGTTTTTTTTCTTCGCCAATTAATCGCCTGGAAAAACCATCGTACATATTTCCCTTCCCACCCTCGATCTCTTCTTCCTCCTCCGCTACTTTCGCAACCACCTCGATCTCCCTCCCTCCCTCCTCGTTCTTCTCCTCCATCATCTCGCGAGACATCTCCTTTACGCGAATATCGTTGAAGTGCGAGCGGGCGCGCAATGACGCCGCAGACGTTGTTTCGAAGCCATGGCCCTGACGATTGGCGAGAGGGTGAGGGGCAAGCGGGCGGGTCATGCTCGTGTTGCTGAATGAACGTCTTTATCGGATTTGGTGGGGGAGTGGGGATCTCGGGATCTTCATTACACCCGTGGCGTCGTCGTCGTCGTCGTCGTCGTCGTCGTCGTTGTTGCCGACTCCGCCGCGCAGTAATACACAAGGAAAAGGTGCGCATATTAAAGCACGCGACATTAGAAAAGCTTGCGCGGGGCAGGGATGACGGTGAGAGGCAATGATGGCATAAGGAAGGAGGTGGACGGACGAGAAGGTGGAGGAGGAGGAGGCGGTGTCGGCGGCGGTGGCGGTGGCGGTGGCGGTGGCGGTGGCGTTCCTCCTCTCGCTCGCTATTGCGTATTCGTTTTATTCGCTGTCGAGCGGCGCGCGCACGGCTCGGAGGTAGAGAGTAGTAGTAGCAGTAGCGAGACGAGAGCGGGAACAACGCGATCGCGATCCCACTCTTTCACTCATTCATCCATTCTCTCTTTCTTTATCTCTCTCACAATCTCTTACCCTTTCTCTCTCTCTCTCTCTCTCTCTCTATATATATATATATATATATATATATTTATCTTTCTCACGGGTAACACACACACACGCACACACACAGACAGAGACACACACAGAGAGTCTCTTTATCTCAGTTTCGTCTCCGTCACCGTCTCCGTCTCTTTTGATCGCGCTGATCGCAACAGTAAGCATTCGCGCGTCATGTCGGGCGAGCACTTCTCCCTGGTCTGGAACACCTTCCCGAGGAACCTCTCGTCCGGCCTCTACAGCCTCCTCACGGACGAGCAACTGGTGGACGTGACGCTTGCCGCCGAGGGCCAGATACTGCGCGCGCACAAGCTCATACTCTCCGTCTGCAGCACGTACTTTCGCGATCTCTTCAAGGTACGGCGTATTAATAAAATAATCGGCCCATCCATCCTCTTCTCCTGTCAAACGGCCCGCCTCGCCTCTCCCGCCGCGGCTCTCACCTGGTCGCGACGCTCGCGCGCTTACAGCGTTACGATTACGCGCGCGCGCCTCGAAGCCAGATATTTTTGGAGTGCACTCGCGAGTGTGGCGCGCCACTTTGTTTTTCTCCCGTATGGGCGCTCGCTCGCTCCCCCCCCCCCCCCCCCCCCCCCCCCCCCCCCCCCCC